TTATATAAAAATATAGTACTATTCCTGTGTCCTCTTTTCTTATCACACAGTCGGCACCCAGCCTCTCTAACTATGTTACTACGCCAACCAATACCCGCCACAAAAACCACTAATCTATCGCTGATAAACCTGTTTTCCAGACAAATATCACCAAGCCTATCTACGCTCCACGCCAACCAACACCAGTCGCAAAAACCACTAATTTAATACTAATCTGTTTCCCAGGCAATCGACACCCAGTATAACTAACTACGATACACGCCAACTAATAACAGTCGCGAAAAACCACTAATTTAACACTTATATGTTTGCCAGGCAATCGACACCCAGTATATCCAACCAAGATACATGCCAACTAATAAAAGTCGCGAAAAACACCTATTACCACACCACTGACCGGACAATCGACACCCGGCCTCTCGAATCAGATCCCACGCCAACTAATATCCGTCACGCAAGCCACTAATCGCACACTAATACTACATTGTCTATCATCCTTTCTCTTTCTCAGACAATCGGCGTCCAGTCTGTCGGAAAGCGACGCCATGATCCCTCGAATGAGCTTCTGCATTCCGCACCGCTTTCAGATTTCGCCCGCCAAATTCTTCTCACATAGCACCTGCGGACACTGTGCGAAGAAACCCAACTACAAGCAGAAGGCCTGGAAGTGCACTGGTAGGGTTTTATTCTGCTCATGAATCGTGGCAACACTGTCAGTAGCAGTGATTAGTCTTCCTCCATGTGTGACAGCACGAGCAGCCCCACGTGCAAGTGTGCGGCTCAAAAGCGTATAGCACTACCTGGTTGTATCTGCGGTACGCATTCAATATTTACGTCTCCTCACAACCACACAACAACACACTGGCATCGATATAAACAACAGTTTTCCAATCTATCCTGCCTAAAACAAACCCTTAAGGAAACCCTATACCCTACACCCTAAACCTTCATGCAGAGTGCGCCATGGTCGCCCACGACGAATGCAAGTCACACATACTGCCCAAGTGCGGGCTGCGTGATCTCGACTTGGGCGTGAATGTACAAACCAACGATTCGCTCAAACTCTCAATGGTCGAAGCCGCCACGCGGCAGGGCAGGTACATTCCATTCATAGTGGAGGCGCTGCTCATGAAAATGACAAGGAGGGCGTAGATCAAGAGGTATTGACGGATGAATATATATGCA